AGCTCCTCGGTTAGCTGCGGTATTGAAAGAAATGAAGGAAGGATTAGATATGTTGAGGAGTAAAGTGCAAGCTTTAACTGCAAAGGTTGGAAACACTCTTTTTGAGTTAATTTATTTGAAGGCATTTTATAGATCATGTTCTTAAATGCATAAGGTAATTGAATTTTAAAAGGAAAAAAATAACAGAAAGAGAGGCAAGTTTATGATCTTCAATTGTCCGTTGGAAATAATTTGTTCAGAAGCAAGAAAATCGGGAAAAATAAAAAGAAAAAGCTTAAAGGAATTGAATATAACATTATTGCTTGTTGAATGCGTGTGCTTGTGTAGGCCTGTATCTATTTGTGTGTGCAATAGCATATAACAATTTTATCATTTACACAAGTTGTGTTGAAGGTATTGTTTGGGGAGGATTAAGAAGAAGAAGCTTCTGAGAACTGGCTAAATGTAGTTGCTTTGAGAATAATGAGATACTGCTTTGTAACTACTCCTGATTTGATCATCATCGAGACACCATCACTAGCATTACCACTGTCGTTAACAATGCATTGTTGTAAACTTTTCACAGCTGTAAATATCACAAAATTTGGTAAACCATTTGTGTAGTTTATGTTGCTTACTTAATATTAGTAGTTTTGTCTATTAGGTGAGAGAAGATCATTTTCCAACTGCAGATGGGATAAGTTACCTTGAGGCCAAACACTTGCTGCTTTTAAACTATTGCCAGTCACTTGTCTATTATTTGCTTCTCAAGGCAAAAGGTTTATCAATTGAGGGACATCCTGTTGTTCGGAGCCTCGTGGAGATAAGATTATTTTTGGAGAAGGTGTTGATCTGTTTATTTTTCTTCTTATTCATACTTGATTGATGATTTCACAAAATTCATAATCATTTTGCTTCATCCAGGTTCGCCCAATTGACAAAAAGCTACAATACCAAATTCAGAAGCTCACAAAGGTTACAGCTGGTGCAGTGGATAAAGTAGGTTCAAGTGAGAAGAAAGAAGATGCAACTCAGAAGACAGAGGATCTGTTGAAATATCGCCCAAACCCAGACATGCTTGTTAGCAAAACAAATACAAGTCATGAGGTGAGTAGAAGGTATTTAAGAAGCACTTTATATTTAAGGATGATGGAGATAAAGGCCTGAAGAGGTTGGGCGAGTATTTAATTTACACATTGAAGTTGACATCCTTGTTCATTTTCTGCAATGTTTCCTTAACATAAATCATTAATTAAAGAACAATTTGAAAATTTTGTTTTATTAAGTCCATCTCCATGAATTATAGGATGGTGGTGGTGTGTATCGACCCCCGAAATTCGCCCCTACTTCTATGGAGGAAGATAAGGTATCAAAACAGGAAAGAAATGCAATGAGGAAGGATAAAGCAGTTTTGCGAGAAGCTAGGCAAAGTGCATATGTGAGAGAACTGATGGACGACCTCGAGGGAAGACCTGAAGAGGTGAGTTGTGGATTGCCATTAATTGTGTTGCTAATTTTGGATGACTGCAAGATTGTTATGTTAGTTTTTAAATGACTATGATTGAAACACAGGTGAGAGAAATTGTTGGAACTGAAAGTAGAGAAGTTATTAGATATAGGGCCAAGATGAGATGGGAGAGCGTGCAAGGCGAGAAGAGGAGCTTTTTACTCGTGCCCCTCTGACAAAGGTGGAGAAAAATAAAATGAAACACTTGAAGAAGTCAAGAAATGGGTTAGTGCAATAAAATATCAACCCTTATATAATGTTCTCCATAACTTTTGGTGGTCTGTAAAATTTATTAACTCAGAAGACAGACGATCTGTTGAAATATCGCCCAAACCCAGACATGCTTGTTAGCAAAATAAATACAAGTCATGAGGTGAGTAGAAGGTATTTAAGAAGCACTTTATATTTAAGGATGATGGAGATAAAGGCCTGAAGAGGTTGGGACGAGTATTTAATTTACACATCGAAGTTGACATCCTTGTTCATTTTCTGCAATGTTTCCTTAAAATAAATCATTAATTAAAGAACAGTTTGAAAATTTTGTTTTATTAAGTCCATCTCCATGAATTATAGGATGGTGGTGGTGTGTATAGACCCCCGAAATTCGCCCCTACTTCTATGGAGGAAGATACGGTATCAAAACAGGAAAGAAATGCAATGAGGAAGGATAAAGCAGTTTTACGAGAAGCTAGACAAAGTGCATATGTGAGAGAACTGATGGACGACCTCGAGGGAAGACCTGAAGAGGTGAGTTGTGGATTGCCATTAATTGTGTTGCTAATTTTGGATGACTGCAAGATTGTTATGTTAGTTTTTAAATGACTATGATTGAAACACAGGTGAGAGAAATTGTTGGAACTGAAAGTAGAGAAGTTATTAGATATAGGGCCAAGATGGAAGAGCTAACACATGAGAGAGTGCAAGGGACTTTACTCGTGCCCCTCTGACAAAGGTGGAGAAAAATAAAATGAAACACTTGAAGAAGTCAAGAAATGGGTTAGTGCAATAAAATATCAACCCTTACATAATGTTCTCCTTAACTTTTGGTGGTCTGTAAAATTTATTAAGCTGATAATCAGGCCTGATGGTGCATCATTTGTTTGTACCAGGTTGCTTGGTCTGACGGACAGTTTTTATGATGAAATTAAAAGTTTACCCTTGGAGGACAATGTTGGTGAGGAAATGACAGGCTTTGGCAATAACAATAGTGGAGAAAGACGACCAATGAAACGGAAGGTAATTGAATTTTTTAAATTATTATGGTATCTATTTCATGTTTATTAAACATATTTCGTGCCTGATAAATTCTCTCCTTAGAATTGTTATACATTACCTTGACTAATGTTTTTCTTATGCATTATTTTTTTAGTATTGTTTGCAACTTTGAAGTGGGCAACACTTGATTACAGAGCTTCATAAATTGATCTAACAGAACCATGTGCACACTTTATCTATGATTTAAATCCCCAGGACTAAAACTGGGTGGATTTGGTTGGCTTATGAGTCTGATCAGGCCCACCCCGAGATCTACTTAAGAAAAATTTCAAGCTGTTTTGTTTTATATAGAGCATACTTCTAATTCGGCCATGTGAATTGCTTGCACACACTTAAGATAATTTTCAAGCTGTTTCATTCTCTGTACGTAGCATACTTACAATTTATGTATATTTGAGTGGTTTCGACTAGTAAGAGTGGGTTTTGGCATAGCGGTAAGGTTGCTCTATTGTGACTTGCACGTCATGGGTTAAAAACAAAGAAACAATATCTCTACATGCGGGGTAAGACTGCTTATATCTTACCCTTCTTGGCTCCCGCAGTGGGACTTGTCATAAATGTATATGTTAATGTCTGCACTTCTGTATATACTAACTTATTTATCTTCAGTTTCATTTTGAGCTTTTACATGGCAAAGACATTTAGAGAATTTATGCTTCATGCTTTGGATAATGTTGCTCTGGTTTACAGAGGAGGAAGCATTAGGGACAAAAAGCTCAAATCTTTTGGTTTGCATAGCAGTTGGATGCACTGGAGTAGTCTGGTAGGGAATTGAGAGCTTGTATTGGCACCTAAAATGTAGGTTTCTTACATCAATTGTATGATGTATTGTATAATCTTATTTATCTGGCTTTCCTTTCAGAGTTTATCTGTCAGACAAACTGCATTGGAACTTAAAGGAGTTGCTGCTAGTCTGATACATTTGTTTTTGGATAAGTGCTAGTCCGATTCATTTGCCTTCTAGTACAATAGTGGCATTCATCAGAATTCTACGAGTGCACAATTTCCAGATGCGAGATTTTTATGTGCTTTTAATTGTTTGGGTCAGTTACAATGGTGTTTCACACAGGTTATTGGTTTTTTATTTTTACCCAATACTGCCTGTGCTTTAGTCAATATGGTTTTCCATTTTTTAGTGCTGGAGATACTGGATTTTTTTTTTTTTTGTTGATCTGAAGAGACTGGAATTTGTTCCTGCGAGATCCTCTCTCTCTCTCTCTCTCATTTAGATTTTTGCAAAATTTGACAGCCAAAAGGCTTGTTTGGTTGTGTTTTTGTTGTATTGTTTTGTTCTTTCAGAAATAAGAACAATGAAAAATTTGTATATACCCATTTTTTTCATGTAGTTCTCATTTTTTGGTTTTTGATGAAAATTTACAAGTAACTTATTGATATTTCCTAAACAGGGTTTTTTTATAGACTTTTTTTTTAGAAAACAATTTTCAGAAACGGTTGGCCGAATATATATATATATATATTTGTATTTAAAAAAAAAATAAAAGCAGAAAACAAGCATAAATACACAACACATTCTCTAGCCTGGCATGGGCACGAGGAATTTCCGTTACATATTAAACGAGTAAATTTTGAGTGTCATTGAGACAAAAACTGTTGTTGAAGATTGGAAGAGCACCCATTGAAAATTTTAAGGGGAAAATACATATAGATAGCAGAAAGAGAAAATAAATTACTAATACATGAGGGAGTGCAAGTGACAATTGCATCCTTACAATCTTTCATTTGCATTCCATTACTAATATACTTGCACTTTATGTGTTCGTAATTTTTTCTATTTTTCCACATGCATGTAGTCTCCCACATTTTAATTCCAACAAAATCTTTAAACCTAGCAAGACTATAGATGAGTTTATAAAATATGTTTTCTAGCATGTCATCTCCCAAATTTTAATTCCTACAAAATCTTTAAAGTTAGCAAGACTATAGATGAGTCTCTATAGTCTTTAAAATATGTTTTCTAGCATGTCATTTGATCAGTTACATTACTTAATATTGGGATTTCTATTGGTAACCCACAATTTTGAGTTAAAGAGTGTCCTTTGAAAGGCACAAGAGAATATTCATTTTGAGGGCATTTTTGTCTTTCCACAATAACTAGCCCCGGTTGATCAAAAAAAAAAAAAAAAAACTAGCCCCGGCAATTGGGTCATCTATACCTTGAACTATATTTCGATCCTTCCTTTTTTCTATTCTCTCCACAAATCCAATATCCAAACAAAGGTATAAAATATTGTTAATAGTTACAAATCAAAATCCAGATACAATTTTATTTTAAAATTTACGACAATCCATTTTGTGTGTGTGTATGTGTACATTGGAGGAGGGAGGGAAATTCAAACCTGTAGCCTTCTAGTAAAGTAGACGGGTTCGGCTAATGTAAACCCCTAACAATGAGTTGGAAGGATTTGTCGTACACAAATGTATCCATTAAAGAGAACACAATGAATTCAGTATTTACAACAGAAGAATATAAAATGCCATAGTAATTGTTATTCAATTTCAGAGTCTAGCTTCAGAGGCTGAGGTATGTTGTAAAGAATGAGACCAACCACAAGAATCATACTGCCAATGAGGAAGAAGGGACTCAAGCTTACACCTTCAGGAAGGTAGGGCAATGGAAGGGAAAGAATATAAATTGAAATTGGCACTGCAAATCAAGAGAAATCCCCCAATCAGCAAGAAGCTAGTACAAACATATCATTCAAAATAAATGCAGAGAGAGCGAGAGAGAGCGAGAGAGAGAGAGAGAGAGAGAGAGAGAACCTGATGACATTGAATTAAGAGAAGATACAACTGCAGAGGAAATCTTAAGTAGATGGAGGGCTGATATGTTGAATGCTATATTGGTAACCATATAAAGTAGGGGTAATAATGGAGCTCCTTCACAGCCTGATGCCAAAAGTACAGCCAAGAAACAAAAAAATGTATTTTTAAGTGACATATATTTCAAAGGAAATGACATGGCAAGTCCACATTGTTTTGATATGACATAGGCAATTCCTACAAGCTAACCAAATTTAGCAAAAATCTGAAGCATGTTAGAACCACCGAACCAACGCATCAAGCATCACCTCTAATTTACACTAATAATATTTTCCCTAGTGCTACCCCAGTGCCAATAAAAAAAATGAAAATTTTGTTTTTTCCCTATTGCTACCTTATTTTATTGTAAAGACCCCTTGGCACGCGCAGAAGGCAAATGTGGACTTCCAATACATTTATAAAATGGACATTCAATAATAAGAAAACTGAAAACTCATTGATTCAATATTGTAACTAGATCAGTATTTTAGCAGTTAATTGTGTAAGGGATGGGGAAAAGATAGCAATGTGCTGTTGCATATGAAATCAGAATTTCTCAAGTTTTACTAGCAGTGGAAAAAGTATTTCCCATTTCTTCCCCAAGAACCCACTTTATACAACAAGAAGACAATTAGTTGACAGAAATGAACCCTACTGCTTTAGGGAACAAAAAAGTTACGAAGACATGCTTCCTTTTCCCCCCAAAAGTTGCGAAACTAACACGTGTACCTGTTATCAATAAGGATAATAGGATAACTAGGCCTTGAAACAATTTTTATGTTTATTTTTTATTTTCCCTAAAAGACAAATCACCATCTTTAATTTATTTGTCTGCATACAATCTATTTATGCCGTATATTAAGTCAGAAAGTCAATGAAAATTTCTCACATTTCACGCATTTCATAAAAATACAGATGCAAATAGCAAGACATAATTTGGTTATCTACGTGCATCTGCATGTGTTATGTGTGTATACATGTAATGGAACTCAAACCAAGATATAATTGGCCATCTGTCTACATATATGAATGTATGTAACTATTACAAAGGCAGCAGAAATTACCTAGAGTATGGGCTCCAATATTGAAAAAGCAACCGGCTCCACTCTTTATGTACGTAGGCAGTAGGGAAAATGGTATGCCTTTCAAGCTTGACAGGAAAGGCAGAAAGAGAAACACAAACAGAGCCTAGAAATCAAAGGAAATATTATAATTCAATGATGAAAAATATTGAAAAATATCATATTCTATATGCGATTTGAGATTCCTTAGCGTGCCAAAAAAATGTTTTAATAAAGCTGTGATATGCTGGGAAGAATGCACAGCCAACGAAATTGATTAATACGTTTATAAAACAAGATATCCTGGCAAGCCATATGAAAATTACCTGAAATCCAGATCCAAATGAATTTACAACAAATATGTCGAGCAACTTTCCCTGCACAGGTTGTCAAATTTTTGAGAATTTTAAAAACTATACAAGCAGATTAAATGGCGTCATTGACTGGAAAAATTCTGGACATACCTTGAGGCGGTTTGCAGCATCAATGAAGACAGATTCCTATTCAAATGCATGACAATTAAAGGTTAATTATTTTCCTCATAAAGAGTACTTCTAATATGGCACAACAACCATGCAGTGTATAACCTTGAGAATAGATGCACCAGCTTGAAAAGCACTTGAAACAATCATTAACACTGGCCACACAAATCCAATTCCCGATAGCATTTGGCCGGTGTCTGACCCACTGGAGTAATAAAGCACAAAAGGAACTATAAGGGATGTTATCTATAGCAAGATGAAAGGATAAGTAGACGAAACACAGAAATATGGTGCATAAAAATACTAATTATTTACACTCAAATTCAATTTTGGAGACAAGGCCAACCATGCTTCTCAAACCATTGGAAAGATTGAAATACCTTGCAACTGCTACAACTACTCCAGCAGCAACAAGTAAGCAGCCAGCAATCCTATTCCAGGAGTACTTTCTCCCCAGGAGAAGGACAGAAAAGGCCAACTGCCACACCAAAAATGTCTGCAACGAAAACCCACAGGAAGAAGCAATTAAGAAGATAAACATTGACCATACTATTTGAGGCCCCTATTTGACTTATATCAAAACTCTACCAAGTGCACAATAAATTTTACCAATGTCATGACCACAATACAAGCATAGAGATATCCATTTCCCCAATTCTTTTAATTGGAAAATATATTCCTCAGCAAGTTTTGATAGATGCGTGTATCAATAGATATTTGAAGTCAGGCAGCAAATCAACAATGTCTTCCCATTTCTAGATAGCAGTTCCAAATTAAGAAGGCAAGTTTTGCCAGACTGCACCAAGCAAGGACACATCCACACACAAGTGCTAATATTGGTACATAAATCATGTAAATACGCCACAGTAGAGCAGTCTTATGGAGGGTTAGTTCCAACTGCTATTTGCTGCAACTGTCACTAAGATCTATGAATATTATATCTAAGATGGGCCATCCTCTAATAAAAATAGGTAGCAAAAGCAATGCAAAGCATTGATATGAAGGTTTGTCGTGCCACAATGAAAAAGGTAGTCCGAGAATGATAGTTTATAGATTGGATGCTGATCAACAGGGCCAAACAATTTAGTCAAAGCAGATAAGTGTGGAACTTTGCCAACTCTATGTGAGAGAGGTCTATACTCAGTAAGAGGCCAAAAAAAAAACAAAAAAATTCGTACTCTCCTCTCTCCAATTCCTGTGCAGTAGTTGCCACTGTTACCAGGATCATTGCACATCCCAAATGCACCCATGTTGTGTGAGTATCAGGTTCGTATAAGATCCTTGACCCAGTTTTCATGTTTAGATTCTTATTTTTCTTCAAAATTAGTCAATGCAAATTGATCCTCAACAAGCCTCATCCCAATAACTTGGGATGGGACCAGCCAAAGATCTCCTTTTTCAGCATTACACTCTATCTATTGCTTGAACCATAGACTCTAACTTTCATGACAATCTTGAGCCATGTCCTCAATGGCCTCCCTTCACCAAAATCATCCCCAGCCTCCACCATTGGTGCAGTCATCATTCTTTATTAGCAACCTAGAGTTATTTTTGGCAGTAGTCAAATAGTAAATTCAGAGAGCCATAAGTATAAGTAATGCCATTACTCAAATTATATCAGTCCTTACCATTCCATGAGTCCTAAGTGAGGATTCAACAGATCCTGGTCTTAGGCATGTAACTGCACCCAAACCCATGTAATATAGGTAGTCAAGAAACCACTGTAGAGTTGTAAAGACATTCCATAAAGAATGTTCTGAGATGTTCACCACAAGACAATTCAAAAAGAAATCAATCATGAAATCACATCATTCGTGTATTTATTATCACTTGAAAAGTGCATACTAGAATTTTACACTAATCTGTCATATCCAACTTAAGAAACAAAATGGGTGCACTAAGTAGAAGAAAGAAAGAAGAAAAAAAAAGATATATGGACATAATAGGAGAAACAACATTAGAATCAATATACTAATCTAAAAAAAGACTCGCTGCATCAGTGGTTACTTATTACTTTGTCCGCAACCTTAGTTTGAGACACTTACTAAAATTAACATTACCTGACTCAAAATGGGTATAGCTGGTCCAGGGAGCATGGCTGTAATTAAAAGATTCATAAAATTCAGTTCTGAAGGCAAAATCAAACTACTCCCTCCGTCCCATTTTCATAGTCCCTTTCGAAAATTCAAACTTTTTAAGGAAACATAATCATTACACTTTGAATTCAAGTTTATAGGATTAGTTCCAAAAATACCCTTCTATTATCATTTTTAAATATATTTATAATTACTTTACAAGGGATAATTTTGGAAACTTTTAAATTTGAAGTTTTGACTTTTTAAAGTAGACATACATTTTGGGACAATAAAAAATGCAATATGGACCAATAAAATGGGACGGAGGGAGTACAAAGTAAACAAATACACCTTTCCCATTTCTCATTTTAAAACATTTTAAACGTGCTTTTCACTTTTCCTGTGTTACATCTGCTAATCCACTCATCATATGCAATAAAGATAATTCTTGGAAATGAATTCATAAATGACATAACAACACCTCCACCATGTCTCATAAGAAATTCTATAGTGATGAAAGACAAAATATGTTTCAGCAGCCACATTGGGAATTCAAAACTCTGGTGTTTGGCTTCAGATTTTCAAAATTAAAAAGATCATGATACCTCCAGAAGACATTCCAGCTGCAACTCCAAGGGCCTCTAGAATACCAATCACTATAAAGGGTGATTTGGGAATGGCCATCATTTCATCAGTAACAATCCCCGCACGATATCTTACGTAGAGTATAGAAAAATAAATAGCCACATACCTGTCTGTAAGCTTGCTCTAATCTATGCTGGCTTAAAGTTATGCAATGGAAAATCCTTGTATGAATTACTTGGCCAAAATCATCCTAGTTTTATTTTAACATCCAAATAAACACATGCCTGTTTGAATGCTTATTATTCTTTATTTTGAAAAAGAATACCAATCACTATAAAGCGTGATTTGGGAATGGCCATCATTTCATCAGTAACAATCCCCGCACGATATCTTACGTACAGTATAGAAAAATAAATAGCCACATACCTGTGTTTCATAAAACCAGTATCACATGTAAGACCACACCAATTCAACCATCTCATAGGCCAATCAGTTTAGTCGATGGTTGTAACAGATCAGTACTCAAATAAGTGAACACATTTTAAAGGTCATTTAAGTTTTCAAGCCAAACTTGAATAAACTACTACTCGGTTCAATACGCTTATATGCATTATAAAAAACAAGCTACTAAAGATTGACTCGTTATCGGCTCGTTTAAAACTTATTTGAGATCGGCTCGGAAAGTAAACAAGCCAAACAAGGCAAGCTTGAACGCATTTTGAAGCGTTTCAAGGTAAACAGCCCAAGACTTAGGGGTGATAGACAAGCCAAACAGGTCAAGCTCGACTCATGTTCAACTAGTTAAAAGTTGTTTGAGTTTAGTTCGTTAAGTAAACAAGCGAAACTTGAACACATTTTGGATCTCATTAACGCTTTCAAACCAAGTTTGAATAGCCAATTGCTTGTTCAGCTCGGCTTGATAAGCCTAAAACTACATAAAAATTCCAAACTACTTGTACTCGGACTTCGACAAAAGCTAGTTTGAGATCAGCTCAAAAATTTAACATTCAAGCTTGAATAAATTTTGAAACTGTTAAAATTTTCAAATCAAGCTTAAACAATTAACTGTTCAGCTCATTTATCACCCTACCAAGACTGACTAGTTTACAGCTATAATTATTACAAAGAATGTCATGCACTATCAAAAGATCTTACAAAAGTTCCATAACTTGAGCTGTGTTGGCGGCATCGAATCCAAGCCTCGGATTTGGAATTGGAGGCCTACTCAATTGAATTTTTTCACTGAGATAGCTTCCAATTTCAATACCAAATCTAGCATTCCATGCTTCCAAACACATTTTTAACAGAATCGTGAATCTTAATTTCTTCTCTTCTTCTTCCATTGCATTATCAACAAATTCATTAAACATCGAATAGTTCGATACAGGTGTGTGTACGTACAAATATATACGTTAAAAAACTTACCCGAAAGTGGTGAGCTGAGCCAAAAAAAAAGGGTAGTCCTTCATGGGAACAAGGGCGAGTTTGTAGAGCACTCGATTCGCGACGGCTAGTATTACGGTGATTACAGAGCTAACGATGATCAATGTAGTGTTCGACGAGGATTCCAAACCTTCCTTGATTGAAGCTCGGATCGAGAATTTACGATTTGGCAGTGGTTGGCGTAGAATGCTAGTGGTTCTGTGATGGATTTTGAAGCGGCCATTGAATGGAGGAAGTGGAGGAGGGTTTGGAGGGAGATGATGAGTGGAGATTGGTGGTCTAGGGTTTTGGGGGAAAGACATGAATGAGAGAGAGGAGGACGATGAGAAGTTTGGTCCATGGAAGATGCGAAGGGTTGGGAATTTGGAGGGGTTGGAATAGGCTGACGATGATGATAGACATGAATATCCCATCACAGAAGAGTTCATGAGGAGTTCGTTCGGGCTCAACCAAACGAATCAAGATCCTCACCGTAAGTTTACTACGTAGAGAATGTTGGGAATGACTTAAATAAGTTTATTTTTTGTTTTTTAAAATTAGAAAGTTGAGGAAAAAAATATAATTGTTTTGATTAATTTTTTAATTTTTTATGAAAAAATGTGTATTAAAAAATTGTATAAATTAGTGCGTAGGGAAAAAAATTTTAAGCTATGTGACGACATAAATTATAAGTTTTTAATTTTATTAATTTAAACTTTAGTTTTTTTTTAATATACATTATTTACATATTTTTGCTAAGTAAAATTGATGAAAAAAAATAATATTTTAACCATTAAACTCCAAGTGAGTGTACAAAATATGTTTAAAATATCATTTTTTGTTGAGTTTAATGATTAAAATAAATTTTTTTGATAATTTTACTAAAAATAAGCAAATAGTTTAAACTTAAAAAAAATCAAAATATTATGATTTAAATTAATAAAATTAAAAACTTAAAGTTTATTTTGTTAGAATTTGTTTGGGCTTGAATTAAAATTTATTAACTTAAATTACATTTGGTCCAATTGTCCCAATTTTAATTTTATTGTTAATAATTTATGGTTATATATAATAAATATCAAATTTACATGTTTTTGACATTGCATTAAATATTTTATAAAATAAAATATAATTGTGATGGGTAATGATGTCAATGGCCAATAATCACAAAAAAGAAAAAAAATCCAAACAAAAAAAAAATCAAAATAATTTGCTTATTGCGTTTCATGTTTATAATTTTTTTGAAATATTTTTATCTTTTATTTTTAAGAAAGCACAAAAACTCTGCCGGGGTTGTTAACAACTCCGCCGGTCACAAGCTCGGGTTAAGGAGGGGGGTTATGTGTTAGGTAGCCGACAGATAACACGTAAAAAAGGCGCTCGGATCCCTTATGATAATGAATCCTACTTTGAATCGTTTAAATGTTAGGTTGTTCCCTTTAAGTGACGCGTTGCGCCTGTCGCCGGGTGTTTCGAAAAGTGAACAAGGGGCGCCACATCAACGCCTAGGTGCAGTGAAAAATGGGCAAAGATTCCTGCGTTTTTCTGGACGAGCGCGGGTAAAGAAGCTAGTCCAAGGCTATAGGTTTAGGGTAGCCACTTGGAATATAGGAACCTTAACTGGTAAAACAATGGAATTGGTAGATGTTATGATTAGGAGGAGAGTTAGTATAGCTTGCGTACAATAAACTAAGTGGACGAGTGAGAAAGATAGGGAAATTGAGGATACCAGTTTTAAACTGTATTATAGTGGTAAGGATAGACGCCGGAATGGGGTAGGAATCTTAATTGCCACGGGTCTTTTAGAGAATATAGTGGCGGTCATTAGGAAAGGAGATATGATTATATTAGTTAAACTAGTTATTGGAGGGAATATAGTGAACGTTATTAGTGCATACGCCCCTCAAGTAGGATTAGATGATCAGACTAAGAGGAATTTTTTAGAGCAAATGGATGAGATCTTTCAGGAGATACCCGTAGAAGAGAACCTAGTTATAGGTGGAGATTTTAATGACCATGTAGGCATAGATAAACTAGGCTATGAAAGGGTGCATGGTGGATACGATTTTGGTGACAGAAATGAGGCTAGAGAGAGTATTTTAGATTTTGTGTTGGCTTCTGACCTGGTGGTGGCCAATACTATGTATAAGAAGAGCGAGCCTTTAAGAGTGGGTTAGTTAAGAGCCAAATATATTACTTCTTAGTGAGAAAAGTGGACTGCCTAAAATGCAATGATTGTAAGGTGATTCCTGAAGAGAGCCTGACCTCTCAACATAGGATTTTGGTACTAGATTTATGTTTTAGAGGGAAATACCAAACTAGAAAGAATGCTGGGCGTCGTAGGACGAGATAGTGGGACCTAAAAGATTATAATTAGAAATATTTAAGAATAGAATGGATAAGGAAGGTACTTGGGACTTGGAAGATGATACTAACACTATATGAAACTCGATGGCCAATTGTATAAGGAGAATTTCAAGAAAAGTGCTTGGAGAGTCAAAAGGAATGGGACCCAGTTCTAGGGAAACTTGGTGGTAGAGGGAAGAGGTTCAAGCGATAGTTAAGGCAAAAAAAAAGTGTTTTAAAAAGTGACAAAATGATAGAACTGAGAAAAACCTTAAGAGCTATAGATTAGCTAATAAGGAGGTCAAGAAAGTAGTGAGAGAGGCTAAGTTGAAAGCTTATGATGACCTATACACTAAACTAGATAGTAAGGAGGGAGAGAAGAGAGTATACAAACTTGTTAAGATACGGAAGAGGAAGAGATTAAAGAGAGATGGAAGAACTATTTTGAGAAACTATTAAATGAGGAACATAGAGGTATGACAATAGGAGAAGAAATAGCCAGTAATACGATAAATCAAGACTATAGGTTCTATCTCAGGATTAGGAACTTGGAAGTGGAGATTGCATTTAAGAAGATGAAATCAAATAGGGTTTTAAGACCAAATGATATCCCTATTGAAGCTTGGAAGTGTTTGGGTAAAAAGGAGATTGTTTGGTTGACTAGGTTGTTTAGCAAAATTTTGTTGACTAGGAACATGCCAAATGAGTGGAGGAATAGTATTTTAGTGCCAATCTATAAGAATAAAGGAGATGTCCAGAATTGCAACAATTATAGAGGAATCAAGCTAATGTGTCATATAATGAAAGTGTGGGAGAGGGTGATAGAACGCCGATTGCGAAATATAACAGAGGTGTCAGATAATCAATTTGGGTTTATGCCTGGCAGGTCAACAATGGAAGCGATCTATTTTTTGAGAAGAGTAATAGAAAAGAATAGAGAAAAGAAAAGAGAAATTCATTTGGTATTTATCGACCTCGAGAAAGCATAGGATAAAGTTTCCCGAGATATAATATGGTAGGTGTTAGCGAAGAAATGAGTGACAAAATGTTACATTGATGTGATTATGGACATGTATGAAGGGATGGTAACCACTATTAGATCGCCTGCTGGAGAGACAAATGAATTTTCTATCACTATAGGGTTACACCAAAGATCTATCTTAAGTCTTTATCTTTTTACTTTAGTTATGAATGAGTTGACGAGAAATATCCAAGATGATGTGCCATGGTGTATGCTTTTTGTAGACGATATAGTGCTAGTGGATGAGACTAGAGAATGAGTTAATACAAAGTTGGAGATTTGGAGAAAAGCTCTTGAATCTAAAGGATCTCGGATAAGCGGAACTAAGACAGAGTACATGGAGTGTAAATTTAGTAACAGTAACAATGAAAGTAAAGGAGAAGTGAAGATTGAGAACTAAGAACTGCCTAAGAGTGAACATTTTCATTATTTAGGGTCGATTATCACAACAGCGGGGGAGATTGATGCGAAAGTGGCCCATAGGATTAAGGTGGAATAGTGTAAGTGGAGAAGTGCGTCTGGGGTACTGCGCGATAAACGAGTACCCACTACACTTAAAGGTGAGTTCTATAGAACGACTATTAGACCAGCGATGTTGTATGGGACGGAGTGTTGGGCAACTAAGAAACAACATGTAGATAAGATAAATGTGACTGAAATGAGAATGTTAAGGTAGATGTGTGGCAAGATTAGACAAGACAGAATTATGAATGAGTGTATTCGGGAATGGGTAGGAGTAGCACCGATAGAAGATAAGTTGAGAGAGAATCGATTAAGATGATTTGGTTATATTTAACAGAGACCAACAGAGGTAGTAGTGAAGAGATGCGATGCTGTAACGGTAGATGGAAGTGTTAGGGGACGACAGGGTAGGCCTAGATTAACATTGGTTAGCGTTGTAAATAAAGATATGGATCTACTTAATTTGACTAACAAAATGGCCTTTGATAAGGCCGTATGGAGAAGAAGGATTCATGTAGCCTATGATAGGACTTAAAGCTTGATTTGGTTAGGTATTTTTAAGAAAGCACAATATAATAGTTCTATTCGGAACAATGTTCAAGCTCGAACTAAGTCCAGGCTAAGCCTTTCGAAAGATGTTAATTTTGAGTTTTGGGAGTGAGGGGAGTCGAACCTGAGACTTTGGAAAGAGCAAACCCCCAAATCTCAAATCTCATCCACCAAGCCAAACTCTTGGGTTACTAGATCTACAATTTGCAATCGAATTTAGATAAAACCCCGATCCAAACCACACGAGTTGAATTGAATCCCTATGCATAAATTAAAACCATGCAATAATCACATTACCATGATTATTGTGCATTTGAAAAGACTTGAATGGTTTTCTTTTGATTTATTTCCATTGCATATATGAGTTAATAATACTAGGATATGCATATATGATTCGAACAAAACTATTCTATTCTGGTGCTGCAAGATTTGGCATGTCATCTAAAACTAATAATATGTTCTGAAATTCGGACACAACTATTTTAGTGCAGTTCGGTTTTGTTGGCACATAAAGCATCAATTCATCAAAGCAAGAAAAACCACTATCAACAAAAGAGCAGCACAAGCAGAAAACGATACCATATACAGTTGAATAACACCAATACAATGTTCTAGAAGCTTGTTAGCAACTTAAAATCAAGATGACAGAGCAATAAATAGTACAATCACACTGCTAAAAACATTGACGGGCACAGGTGTTTACACATCTATCAGTTCTCAATAATATATATATATCGTTCTGTATACATAGGGGCCGTTAGAGACCCCAGATCAATCTTGAATAACTCCCTTATCTATGCTAAATTGTACAAGTGATATGAGGTTAACTATTTTCTGTTGCCAGAACTATATTCACTTTGTATTTGTCCACGTGTTAAGAAGCCAGAAGCAAAGTTGATAATTGGATAGAAGTGACTTAGCTGTTACCAGCACTCGTACTTCCTTATATTCACTCAACTACGAAGCTTCACCTGCCTCCCACGCCGTGTTTTTTTGTTTTTGTTTTATATTTCGATGATGTGAGATTCTTGAAGTTGCTAGCCAGAATGTAGCCTTTGTTCACTTTCTTTTGCACTTTGGTAACTAACTGGTGTAGAAAGGGGCATTTCATAACTTATAGGCTGAACTCTGCGACTCTTCATATACTGCCTTCTCTTCTCCTTTTCACGGTTCTTTTGGTCTTCTGTCATTCGTGCTCGGCGTCTACGCTGATAGAGACGATTTCTTTCACGTATTCATTCCCGAACAAGATAACTTTCATCTAATATAATAACATAAGAAGGAAAGTAAGTTTAATGAACATAATTATTAAACCTATCAAACCTCAAAATTAAGAGACAGACTCAGCAAAAAAAAAAAAAAAACAAGTATTTTTAATTTTTGATCTCTTGTTGAAGATATGTAATATTAATATACAATATAAAAAGTTATTTTACTTATTTTATAGTAATTATACAATAATATGTACATATAGTGTTACATATAAATATATAAAAAGTGTCGAACACATATCCCACACCTTTATTTGTTGGATGTCCAACACAGGTATTTGATTTATTTTGAAATCATGCAACACATGGTTTCATGTGGTTCACTGAAGGCAGTAAAATCCACGACAGAGTATAGATGGTTCACTGTTATTAGAAAATACACAAGCTTATCTAAAATAGTTCTTTTTTGAAAGCATAAATCAAACATACCCAAAATGCAAAAGCAAGACTCACTTTATACGAGCATATACTTCACTCATGTATCAAATAATGCTACTTTAAATTTTAATGAAACCATAAAATTTAGATAAAGGAAATGAAGAAACTAAAAAGAATTAGAAATGAAACAGTGCACAATTTTTGTTTTTATTTTTAAAAAAAGCAAATATTTTAGGTTTGATAAGCTTTATGGTACTCATAAAAATCATTGGGATGGCATATGAAGTGCATAACAATAATGTCCAAAAAATCCAACCTTGCGGTAACTCAAAACATTTTTGAATCTTCAGCTGTAAACAAAGTATCTTCGTCAATTAAGTCATCAAAATCCTCAATCTGTTGTTGTGATGTGCCATCTACTACAATCATAGAGTTTTCTGCTTTGTGCATTTGTACCTTCTGAACAGAAGAAACTTCCACAGTATCATATGTTTTTTTGGCTTTGATCTGCACAGCCAACAATATCACAATAAACATCTTCCATCCTAAATGAACAGAACAAAATTCAACAATAAAAAATTAATAAAGAATGAGAAGTAAAAAACGTTTGACCAAATATTGTATTCTGCCTATAGATTTGAGCATCCTATTGGATGAAATGTCTACCACGATTCTAAACCCATAACAGTTTAAAGATCAAATGACCAGCAGGCTAGGAAGCACGGTTGCAGTTACAGGTGTGGGTACACCGATATGGCAAATTCTTTAAAAAAAAAAGGGCAAAGGCACAGTTGGAGTACGTGTAACAGTACCGGCCGGTATTCATACAGAAATATTTTTAAAGTACTCATGCTTCATATCCAGCAAGTAACTTTGTACACAAAACAAAATTAATCTTGAAAGATCAAAAGGTAAAAATAAGAAAAGGGAAAGTAAAACAACTGGCATAGAATTGACAGAGAAGAAAGCATCCTTGTGAAATAAATATCCAAAGACCAAGTAGAATAAATTAGCATTTGCTTGCACAAATTTATGGTGTAATCTGCACATTCTATCAAAAGATGAGTCTACAATAATGCATGCATTTACACGGGTGACAGGAACAGCAACCTGGGCTTGACAAGAAGTGTCACTTGGCTTCGGAATGAGATTTTTTTAGCAGTCTCTGGTTTTGATTAGCCAAATAGAGCATAAATGATGGTATACTTGCCACCATTACATTAACGTCCTTCCTCAAGTCACCTCAACAAGGAATTTCATTAAGTGACTGGTTTCTTCATGCTTTGACTCTACCAGTCATAAACAAAGATTACAATTTACAATTATCGATCAGGACTACTTTATCTCAAAATGCAGTGATTCAAGTTTCCAAAACACTAAACTTCTGTGGGGACATGGGCATTGGGCAGATAAGAATCTCCTTGATAGAGTAACTTTAAAGAATATGAGTTGCGCAACTACAGATGGATCAAAAAAGGTTTAAAATTTTGATTAGTGTTACCTTGGGAATGGTTGAAATCTCTTAAAAAACATGAAATTTTCTTCTGTTGAAGTTTTAATGTTGTAACAGCAATTTCAGCAGGTTTATCAAAACCACTGAAGATCAAGTACATTAAGCAGAGTTGCTACAGTGTTCTATTCTGGGGTGGGATGGGATTCACTCATTAAGTAATTGACATTATCAAGACCCTTCCAAGGAAAAATGCTTGCCAATAAAATCACATTTGTCACGAGGGCACTCTTTTCCCTCATCAGCCAGAGGAATTGTGTATTGTTGTACTGTTGGCAACATACCACCAAGTATCATGTGTAGTTTATATCACATTCGGGTGATCACAAAGCTAACAGTGCATGCCTAGGAACTGGCTAGGTGAATATGCACCCCATGCAAGGCAATGACATCAATCGACCACTTTTATATTCGGTAATAACAATAAAAAAGCTAACAAAATTAAGTAATTAGTATTGTAAGTTGAAAGGATCACCGTAAGTAAAAATCTTGAGATGTAGAATCGATTTCAGCTAAGTGATCAAGGCATTCAAATTCCTCAATTGCATAAAACCCTGCAAATAAAAGGTTCCGCTCTAAACAAGCCCTCGACTCCTCCAAAACCTAAAATTAGAGATCCACATCGACAATAATTTAGCACTGCGGAGGATAATAGAAAGCAAAAGCACACCAAGTATTATATCTTAGTAAAACTTACAAGATCTTTGTTCCTGTAGAAGAAGGATGGTTCCTGTAAAAACATATTGCCTCCAGGCTTAAGCACTTTGGCCAATTCTAATAGCCATAGTTGGGTGTGAAAACCAGGCTTCTCTGAGACTGAAATAATAGTAGACAATGAAGATGACTTAAAATAAAGGCTTCCTTCTGCACTAAAAAACATAGATACAAACATTATTAGAAGCATATTCCACATTATTACTAAATCAAACAAACATAACTTTGAAATAAAACTTCCACACGCACACACACAGAGCAAAACAAAAAACAAAAGAAAGAAGATAATAAAACAAAAAATTGTGAAATTCAAACCTTGGAATTACATGATCACCTTGTAGGTCCACATGGCAACCCATGTAGAAGGCACATCACCTCCTCTACTGAACTTGTTCTCATGTGTCAGCCTCATGAGGTGAAACATGGACTGATGGGATCTCACCACGAGTAAATCCTCCCTCCATGATAAGTTTCATCCGCCTGAAGCTAACGTGCAAGTTACATTAGTCTCAAGCCAAGGCATTCTGAGGCAATATCCAAGGAGCCTCCTAGAGAGCTGAGTCTTCCTCTCCTGATTGACTTGAGTTTTTGCCTAAGAATGCCCATCTTCACTCACGCCAATATGCTTGGATCTCCCTCGTTTTGGCCGAGTGAATTTTCTGCTTGAGTGTACTCGTATGATGTACACTTCATTTTCCAATGGCACCATGATGCTCCCACACTTGCCTAAGTCGAGAGTAGAGCCTAGGGTTCCCTCAAGAATGGTTGGAGTTAAGGGTTTGTCAAGGTGCTCATCCCATCTTCCCTCGAGGGACTAATACCTTGATTGGTCTTCCGAAATAGAAATAGAGAGATCTTACATAAAGACAGCTCTAGATTATGACAAACATATGTGGTGTGCTCCTCCTGCCCAACGAGCTTGCCCCATTACTCTTGCAACTGAGAAAATATTGGTTTCACCATCTCCACTACTACTAATTGGGGTCATTCCACTAAGAAATGTTAGACCATGCAGAGAGCCAGTCACTTGTCCCTCAACCACATGGCTTCAGCAGTTGTGATATACCGAGTTCCATGGTTTGGCTACTCTTGCAAATAGTGAGCCTCCGTCTGCTTTGTCTCCTTGCAAGAAGCAATCTCTTCCCAACCCCTAGGATCTGGTTCTCCATCTCCACTACCTCTATTATTGCTCTCTCCCTCTCCTCCCAAGACCATCTCTACTGCTCACCCAGCCCATCTTCAATGATCGAATTACATCAATGGCCATAGTATTTCCCATAAGGTTCCCTTTACTAGCTTACTTATCTCCAACAACCCACACACCTTAAAGCACCTCAATTTCCAAGCTTACATAAGAAGCTAACCATCCATTTAGTTACCAAGATATTTGAGGGAAATAATAGAAAATTCTAAAACAATTAGAACTGCAGCTAATCTGTGAGGCGGAGAGACCGTCTCCCTCGGTGTGAGCGAGGGAGACGGGTGAGTGTGTGAGTGAGGAGTGTGTGAACTCCTCCTCTATTGTAATCTTTCTGTAATATCTCCATTGTTATAGTGATAACTGGCTACTCTCCCGTGGACGTAGGCATTGAGGCCAAACCACGTTAAATATTGTGTCTCCTTGAGTGTGGGTGTGTTTTTCTGCATGGAATAATTTCTACAAGGTCTTGGGCGGGATCCCAGATCCCAACAAGTGGTATCAGAGCCTCGTTGGTGGCGTTTCAGAACAAAAACAGCGTGTTGTTTGAAACTGCCCAGAAATCAAGTTGCTCGAAATCAAATTTTGAGCACACCAGGAGCAAGAGCTCGAGAAGAGGAGTCCAGAAATATAAAGCAGACACCCAACGGAGGCCGGACGCGCTCTCACGCGCCCCTAGAAGTTGGCGCGTGAATCCCAGTCTCGCCACGCGCCACCACGCGCCGTTCATGCAACCGGCGCGTGGTCCCAGTCTCACCCACGCGCCCCACGCGCGGCGCAAGGAAGACGACGACTGAGGGAACAGCGCGTGCCATACACGCGCCATCAACACGCGCGCCACGTCATCACCACGTGGCACAGTTGTCAGCCATGGGGCTGCCACGTGGTCGCCACGTCATCGTCCAATCATCGCCACGTGGCAGACACGTCATCGCCGCGTGGCAGACACGTCCTCGCCACGTCATCACTCTGAAGAAAGATCCAGTGCTACGCGGCAATGGTGCAGCCGCAGGAGGAAGGATCCAGTGCTTTGCGGCGAAGGTACAGCCGTAGATCTGAGGCGTACAAAATGTTTTGGCTAGATCGAAGCCATTTGGAGTCCGTTTTTGGTGATCCAATAGTGGTTTCCGACTATTTGGAGTATTCCGAACACATCTGTACGGTCAGATTTTGGAGACGGAGTTTCTGTAAAAAGAAGGCAGATTAAAGTGGCGGACGGCGTTAGGGGCAGTGGACGGAATATTTCGTTGGTACACGGAATATTCCTTGAACTTCTGAAAATTTCAATTTGGCCCAGAATTTTCAGAAAATTGTGGGGTGGCCCAGCTTTCGAGGATAGTTTTCAGTGAGGTCCCCGGAAATGCAACGAAGGTTGGTTCTAGCTAAACGAACCGCTCCGGACGCAACCGCGAGGTCAGAATAGTGAAATTCTGAACGGTTTGGAAAGATTGTCAAAACATGGGTGTTTGCCATCTTCAATACTCGAAGGAAGGCTGCCGGATATTATGGAATGCTGCGGATTCACCGAAGAGGTTAGAATGGGCAGATTCTGACCAGATTGGACAACCAAATACAGATTGAGATAGATCATTGAAGACTAGAAGAGATCAGGCTTGATCAAATGGCAGATCGAGGGAGATCAGGATTGGTCAGGGGCGATCAGAGGATTGCAGAGGCAGATCGAGGGAGATCAAGATTGGTCAGGAGTAATCAGAGGATTGCAGAAATGATTATCTCCGGAGTTCGTTGGAGGATCTGGTTCAATCAAAAGAGAAGACCATTCATCGACGGATAGATGATTTGGCAACCAGTACAGGCTCAGGGAAATACTGTGGCTGTTGGAGCTACTGTATACGAGAAGGTACTAATGGTATGTGGACATGTAGAACAATAGTTGCAGAGGAGCATACTAAGCGCAGAAGTACAATTGCAGACGTGCAACAGTGCAAGGGTACGCTAGAGTGTCGTACAGAGGCGCGAGAAGAGTGTGCAGCAACGGGTTGTTGACAGTTCACAGAAACTTCCAGATAGAGAAATTGAGACAGGTAAAACGCAGGAGTGCGTGCCAAGGAGTGGCAAGTCTTATTTCTCTATGGTGGTTTCTTTAGTTCCATGTCAGCAGATGATAGAGTTGATGCAGATCTCTCAAGCAAGCTTGACGCAGGGAGACCAGAAGCCATGGGTGCGAGCACTATGCACGGAGTTGCATAGTGGTAACTTGTACAGACCGGTGGAAGTTGTCTTGGCAGAAGGGCTAACTGTCAAACATCAGTACGGACGTACAAGTGAGACAGAACCGAACATCAGGGATTGCAGCACAGATAACAGGCGTATGAGATCGCTGGGAAGTTGTTCTGAAGTGCAGAAAGCAAAGGCTGGTTGTTCAGAAATAAGCTCCGAGCAAGGAAAAATGAGGATGTTTGATGTGTCAAACTCTGAAGTTTTCTAGTTGCTCCAGTGTTCATCCTGCAAGGAGTTACACGGTAATGCAAGGGTATCCCGAGCAGGGGTGCAGGACATCCAATCAGGGGGTGTCCAAATATCTTGGTTACGCAAGTTCAAGCATAGCGTCTCAGTAAAGGCATCCGAGACAGAAGCGTGGAAGAGATCTGTGGGAGATAGGAGCAAAGGCTCTCTCCAAATCAGAGAGTGGTGTGAGTTGAGTTGAGGATGTAGGATTCCCTCCTCCTCTTATATCTCTGGTGTATTATCTCTAGCTTCAGGGGGTGCAAGCATCTCAGTGAAGAGATGCAGACTATGCTGAAGACATCCGAGACAGGAAGTGTGGAAGAGATCTGTAGGAGATAGGAGCAACGGTTCTCTCCAAATCAGAGAGTGGTGTGAGTTGAGTTGAGGATGTAGGATTCCCTCATCCTCTTGTATCTCTGGTGTATTATCTCTAGCTTTCAAGGGATGCAGCGTCTTAGCGAGGAGATGCAAACTGTGTTGAATTTGGGCGTGACAAGATTGGCAGTAGGTTTTGTTGTGAATCACCTCACATGGGCTGAGGGGGTGATTTGTGGGATATCATCCCATGTGAAGGGTGATTCCCTTCACATGTGAGTACACAAGCTTGCCAACCTACAAATGTACAAAGGTGATCTTTTCTTATGTGTTGGCCATGTGAAAGAAGTTGCAACATGTGGAGAAAGAGCTGGCCATGTGCAAGGACAGCCAAGCTCTCCCTATTCTGTTAGTGTATAAATGGAGGCCGAGGGAGAGAGAGAGAGAGCAGAGTAAGCCACAGAGAGTGAGATATGTGAGGCGGAGAGACCGTCTCCCTCGGTGTGAGCGAGGGAGACGGGTGAGTGTGTGAGTGAGGAGAGTGTGAGCTCCTCCCCTATTGTAATCTTTCTGTAATAACTCCATTGTTATAGTGATAACCGGCTACTCTCCCGTGGACGTAGGCATTGAGGCCGAACCACGTTAAATATTGTGTCTCCTTGAATGTGGGTGTGTTTTTCTGCTTGGTATGATTTCTA